CAGATTGGCCAGGGCGGCGTTGCTCTTGCTCACATCGTCCTTCGTGAGCGTATCCACCGGCATCCTGCCGTGTGGCACCCATCTTACGTGGCCCCGGGCTCTCTCGAGGGTCTCACATACCCCCGCCAGATCCAGGGCTGTGCGCCTGTCTCGGGCGCTGGCATTGCCCTCCTTGAGCATTGTGTCGTAGATGCTCTTTGCGTCTACCACATGAACTTGATCCACTCGGCCGCCTAACCGACAGTCCCTCCTGAGAACTGTCGTGAAAGGTCCTGAACCCCTGGACGTGTCATTCACATCAACATCCCTGAAAACCACGTCCCGGTACAAAACCTGCAGAAATTCTACTTCCGCCACGGCGGCGGAGAGGGCCTGAGTTTCCCCGGCCAAGGTCGAAGAGACCTTCCTACGCAACTTGGAACTGCGCCATCCCAGCACGGAAGCCTGCACGGCGCAGTTATCCAGCACGCTCCTGTCCGTGGCAAGAATCATCCACGCGCCCTGGGTGGGGTCTTCGGGGAGACCCCTCTCGTCCACGAGTCCCTCGTTGGCTCCAACACCCCCGGCATCCGAGAAAGACACGAACGCCATACGATCAGGGTCGAGCTTCCAAATGCTGAGGCCTCTGGAGGCCGTTGACCGCAAGTACCTCACCATTCGATTGGCGATGGTGACGTCGCCCGTCGTAGCGTTCTTAAGCCTGCTAGCTAAGATACTGGCCGCTCCGGCCGCCTCGGGTCGCGTCTCTCGCCCGACCCAATTAAGCTTATATATCAGAGAACGGAGGGACTTGAACTCAGCGGGAGTGAGAGGGGTTTTCTTTAGCCCGAGCCTCCCGCGCTCCATGCTCACTGGCCAGACCTCCTCTAGTATGTACTTCTCTTGATCGATGAGGGTCCGGTGGGGAGCAAACGACACACGCCTCCCGGCATACTCGACTGGCCCCTCGTGGCAGTCGCGGTACTTCCCGAATTTGAACCGGGACTCGAGCACCTGACGAACCCATGTGCGAGTCTCCCGAGAGCTGCTGGATATGAAGAAGTCATCCACCTCCAGAAGAATCATGTTCAGAATGGCCCCGTCAGGGCCGTATCTGATCCACCAGCACGGTTCTAGTAGGCTTCTCACGAAACCCTGTTTCTGCAGAAACCCGACCACGGTTTTCCTCCAAGCGAGGGGGGCATCGTCGAGCCCATACACGTTGACGAGTAAACGTATCAGGGATCCCTTCTCCACCCGGATCCCTTCGCAGGGTTCCACGTAAATCTCCCCCTGGGTCCTCTGCATCGGGTTCGATTGACAGCAGGCGTTTTTGACGTCGGCTATATCTCCTAAATGACCCAAGTTCATCATGACTTGGACGAACATGAGAATTGACGTAGTCTGAGGGGTAGGCGAATACACAAACAGTGACCCGGTGTCCGGGTCCTTGTGACCATGGACGCACCATCTCGACTTGGCAGTGGGCTCGGCGAAGGTGCCTTCCACCGGCTTCCACCGGCGCACCATTCGGCTGGTAATTATCCGATCCGGACAGGTGCGCCTGACAGCCCCCGCCTCCTTAGGAGGTATTACTTCCACCGCTCCTGAGCCCATCATGTTCTGCCACTCCTTATCATCTGACATCTCGAACTTCGCTCTCTCTGCTGGACTGAGCTGTTTGAGGGAAATCTCTCCTCCACGGCTGGCCGCCAAGATCCCGTTGTCCCCGGAGCTCTCGACCCTTTCAACAAGCCCCAGGAAACACCCATCCTCGCTGGTCTCTACAAAATACGAAGTCCCGCCTTCAGCTTCGGTCCGGGCCTCGATCTCGGCCACCCGTCGTCCGACGAGCTCCCCCCTGGGCTTCGACTGGCTTCTCTCTCTACTGTCCCTGGCGGCGGCGGCGGCGCCAGCAGCCGCAGCAGACGACGACGAAACCGAGTCGGCCTCTGCTGCCGGAGGCGGCTCCAGGCCCGGGGGAGGCCCCACTCGCGGCCGCTTGGCCTCGCTAACCTCTGGCGGACAGCTGGCGGACCTAACGCCTGGCCCTTCGTCCCCTAGGGGTCTCCGAAAACAGTGAGGGACGTCGCTCGGCTGCTCGAGCTTGGCCCTAGTTGGTCTGACTGGCACAATCGGAGAGGGCGGCGGAGGAGGCAGCGACACGGGAGGAGGAGGTTCGACAGACGGAGGATCGACGGCTTCCCCGGGGATCCTTTCGTCGGGCCCCGGGACCGCTTGGAGATCTCCTTCGCCTGGAGGCGTGCCGATGCCTGATGACTCGCCTGGCTCCTCGACACTTTCCGAGATCGAGGGAAGTCGTGTCCTCTCGGAACCCGCGTTGGCCACCGCTGACCCTCCTGCCGATGATGGTCTGGATCGAGGACCCCGCGTCCTAAGAAGAGGAGGCCCCGTACCGATGGGATCGAAGCCACGACCCGCGGAGGGAGGGCCCACTGGGCCCACAGGCTCGGCCACCTCTGGCCTGGCCCCGGGCCCCGCCAACTGAGGAGCAGAGTCTGACCCCGGCGACAGAGGTTGATCCCAAGCCTCATCGGGAGGGGGGCCTTCTCGCTGCACGTCCACGGCCGACGCTCGTCTGGACTGTGCCTGGGCCATGAGCTCGGACCACTGTGGATTTTGGGCTACTTGAATCCCGAACTCTTCCTCGGGACTGGCGTGCCGCACCTGTTCGGGAGAGCACTTCCATAGTCGGGCTCTTACCGCCACCCAGACTGTTCCCCTCTCGGCCAACACCACGACCCCGGGTCCCGTCCAAGCGTCTCGCCTGCGACCCAGCGTATCCGCCCGCGACCCGGCCCGAGTGAGCCTGCGCCACACAAACACCCACTGACCAGGACTGAAGGTGGTCTGGGACGGTCCCTTGGCCTTGCTGGCCTTATGTATTTTGTCCCGAGCGGTGGTCTCCATGGCCAGACGGCGGGCAACATCTCGGACTCTCTGAGATCGGGCGAACTCCGCACCGGCTGAATCCTGTTCGGACGGTGGCCGCAAGCAGTCTTACCATCCGGGAAGGCCCATGTGGTCGTCGGACAAGATTTCGTGTGGCAGGCGTGGGTTCTCTCCGAAAACCAGCTGCATGGGCGAAAAGCCTCCCCGGTGCCAAAACCTGTTTTTGTGGGCACAAAGCTCGTGGATGAGCTCATCCAGCTCCTGCGCATCCCCGGGCAAAGCAGAACCAGCCTCCACCTCGCTTTTGATTCGTTCTTTGATCCAACCCCCGTGACGCTCGACTCGGCCGTTCTGCCGAGGGGAGTTAGCATCACAGACGTGATGCAGTACTCCCCATTGCTCCAGGCCGCGAGCAAATCTCTCCTCGAACTCTGGGCCCCCGTCCGAGAGAAGAAAGTGAGGAGCGCCGAATGGCCTTATCCAAGCAGAGACAAAGGCGCGCCACACAAGGGAGGCCTTGGGTTCCTCGACCCGCACACATATCTGCAGGTTGGATCCGTGATCGACAATATTGAGATAGGGCAGGACCTTGTCCTGATATGGAACATAAAACAAGTCGACGCCCACGATGTGGTTAAAACGGAAAGTCCGCGGCATGGCAACTCTGCGATGACTGCTGGACCGAGCACGCTCGGCACACTCTGAGCACTTGAATGAATCGCGGACCCACCTCAGAATATGGACTTTGACTCCCCCGGCCCTCAGGACTCGCACGAATTTCCTATTGCACGGGTGCCCCATGTTAACATGCAACCGAAACACCAGCCTCTTTTCGGTCTCCGATGGGTCCGGAAGGGGTTCGCTCACCTTGGCACTGCTGGGAAGTCTGGTCTCGGGCACATCTTCGTCCTCACTCCCCTCGGGATCCTCTTCCTCGGGACCTACGCCTTCATCCCCTTCGGGAAAGTCTCCCTCCTCGTACTGGGCCCAAGTCACCGGCCGTGGTCGACGAGGTCCGCTCCATTCTTCTGTCACCGCGCGAGCCACGGCCTCCGCAAATGCCGGAGGATACTCTTGAGCAGAGGAGGTCCTACTCTTACCCTCAAGCAGCACGTGTCTGTGATCCCCCGGACAGAGGTGCCCCTCTAGGATCTCCTGGAGCCTGGGGTGGTTCGTTAGAATCCCGGTCGGCTTCTTGTTTAGCCCATCCCTGGTCACGCTCAGACCGAAGGTGCACATATCAACCCGTGTCCTGCGGACCCCGGGTAGGCTAGACACGAGCTGAACTACCTTAGTTGCCCACGAACTCGCGAACAGGGGGTGCTCAAAAGCAAAGTACCGATCTTTCGTCACTCGATCGCTAGCTATCTCCATACACAAGACAAGATCATTTATACCCTCGACGATCGCTCGCTTCCATTTGATCGGATCGCGAACCGCCTGACTGATCCTGCTGATGATCGAAAAGGTCCGACACGGTGGACAGAGCCACGTCAGCTCGGGGTCGTCACGATCCAGGGCCTCCCAAAGCTCTCTGCGGTCCCTGGAAACGCGGGAGTCCCAGCCTTGGGCGATATCCCAACTGGCCCTGGGACCCAACGCCCCCCCCCGACGTTCGACCCTGGGAGCAATCCTGGGCGGCGAGAACACCTCCATAAAGGCTGTCCCCTTCTTGCGTGGCAGGGCATGGTTAGATAACACCGCTGTCCCGGAAACGTCTGGAGTCGAAACCATGGTCTCCAGGGAAGCTCTGACACGGGGGGGGCACGATACCTCGTGATCGTCATTGACGGTATCCCCCAACAACCATTCGGCTCCCTCGAAATCGGCCAAGACCCGGCCTGGGAGCTCCCCAGCGCCAACCCCCGCAGGAGCCTCTTGACTCGCCGGCTCTCTCGGTGTCGGAGCCTTATCCTCGGTCAGAAATATGGGAAAGCAGAGAGAGGAATTAGGAGGAGGAGAGGTGGAGGGAATCAGCGGGCACGGACACGAGGAGCGACACCTCTTTGCACTTGACGCAACAGAAGCAGTGCAGCCGCCTCGAGAGAAGGCGGCGCCAAGGCCTAGCGAACGGCCCCTCGGCCGCTCTGCTTCATTGCTGACTCGTCCTAGGTCCCTGGGCCAGAGCTGCTGATGTTGCTCATGTCGCTCAGGACCTCCCAGCCTGCTGCGGGACTCTCCTCCTCTGGTATGGAGTAGAGACTGCCCGCTGTCGTTGCTGAAGTCGTCGTTGTTCCTGTCGTTGTCCCCGTTGTAGTGAAACCGTCCCGCTCGCCCAGCGGCTGATACGACTGAGGTGGCTGAGCTGGCTGCGACGGCATGCTCTGCTGAGCTGCCGGCGGCTGATCCGTCGGTGGCGCCGACTGCACCGGCTGCTCGCTGCCACTGCTGCCCGTCCCGGCCGCCCCTGCCGGCGACTCGTACCACGGGTCTCCCATCTGCCAGGCGGGGTTCGCTTGTCCCGTATTCATCACCTGGGCGATGGAGGTGACGGCTGTCCCGATGTTCACCACCATGTACCCGATCTGCTGAAGTGCCGTCTCCACGTTGTTCACCGCGCCGACAAGGCCATTGATGGACTCCTGTAGAGTGTCCAGACTTTCCGCGAAGCTCTCGAATGTCCCCAGCATGTTCCTGATGTGCTGGATGCCCTGGAAGATCTGCTGCAAGCCCTCCTGGGTCTCGCTGGGCACGCTGAGCGCCTGAGTCGCCACAGCCGTCATCTGATCCAGAACCGACTGGATCTGCCCGAAAGCTCGAATGCCCTCCGGCACCTCCTGCAGCTGCCATTGGAGGCTCTGGAGGAGCCCCGCGAGCTGGTTGACTGTGGTCAGGGCCGCGCCCCCCGATCGGAAGCCGGGGTCCTCCTGGAGGTACTGGAGCATCCTCTGGGAGTTGGCTGCGGCCTGCCTGGCTGCCTCCGCCGCCGACGGAGGTGGTGGTTGGTCTCCTCCTGGTCCTCCTTGCTGGCCGACTGGAATCCACACAATCCTTTCCCCGCACACCGTGCAGCGAGAGCCACTTCCCCATTGGTTTCCGTAGTATTTGATGGCTCTGGGTGGATGGGGGCATCGGTCCGCCGGTGGTGCGGTGGATGGCTTCGGCGCTGGTTTCGGTGGTGGCTTCCCGGCCGCTGGCCCTGTCAACGGAGCATCTCCGCATCCCACTGCATGGGGAGGCACCTCGATCCCAGCTGCGATCACCTCGGGAGGAGGTCCGTCGGGCGGCGGAGGAGTTGCTCCCGCCTGTACCATGGCTGCTGCTGCCGCGGCCGCCCCAGGAGGTACCTGAGGAGGGAGTGGTACAGGATGAGTCCCCATCGCTGCCGCTGCCGTCTGCCAGCGCGCTGGCCCTGGCCTTGCTCCCGGGTTGGGGCCTGGCCCGGCTGCTGTCCTGGCGGCTCTCCGAGTCTCGGCTTGTCCTGCGCCGAAGGCCGCGTGATCGTACTGAAAGACATTCCCGCCCGGGTTGTGCATCCCCTGGAACGGCCCCGCCAGAAGCACCGGTGCAGCCGCCGTGCTCGGACCTGCTGAGTCCGCGAGAGGAGGCGGCTCCAACTGCTGGCCACCCGACGTCCCGGGCATCGCCTGGGGCATGGCAGCGTCTGCCTCGTCGAGGCCTGCGGCGGCCTGGTCGAACGACTCGGAGGACACGTCGGACTCTGCATTCCGGCGTGCCAAGAACTCCTCGGTCGCTTGGGCTGCCTTGCCGGTGGTGGCCCTCTTCGGGCCCGCCTGGACGGTCGCCATCAACCCGACAATGACTGCCACACGAAGCCCCGACATGACTCCCTGCTTGGACATGGAAGACAAACTGCGAATGCTGAGAGTTGCGCTGTTGAAAGCGTCGCTGATAGCTACAGCTCGAGCCGATGGCTACGGATAGAACCATGAGCGTTCTGACCATCAGGCACCATACCCTCGCGGCGTTAACCAGGAGGTCCCTAGCTCTATGCTCGAACGCCCGACACAGGTTTCGTGACACCTTCTCTCCCAGAGTCTCCCAAGGCCCTGAGGCCCGGCTCCTACTCCTGGCTCGAACGGTCTTCCCTGTCGTCGGGTCCTTCTGCACCGCCTTAGCACTCACTCGGGATCCTGAGGCAACTACCGAGGATGAGCAGACCGTCTGAGCCCGCGGCACAATGTCTAGAACTCCGTGCCCTCGTACTCCGAATTGCTCTGGGACCGCTCCGTCTGGTCGCCTGGGACCTGAAACGATGATGAAGACCGATGCGATGATGTACCTGCTGAGGTCGCCAGTCGCGTCCATGATGGGCGCTTTCTCGCCCGCTGACAGCTGGAAGGAAGTAGCTGCCAGGAAAGGATACTTCTCTAGCGCACTCGTCGGCGCCAGGAGAGAGCCCGACACCGCACAGACGATATCTGCCATGCGGTGTCCTGAACTGAGCTTCTGTAAAAGAATGTCGCGCCTCAACTTGCTAGACGACAGTATGTTCCTGGGCAGATCGAGGGTACACCCCAGGAAGTCTAGCAGGTTGACGCTCAAAATGTGCGGCACGTCCTCGTTCAGGACGGTCGTCTCGACAATCCCGAGGACGCCGCCGAGACATAGTGGATACAGCACAGTGCCAATCACTCGCGCCTCGCCACCGATGCCGTGTGCCTTCTTGGGCGCCTTGAACTCTCTCGGTACCTCCACATAGCATAGCCCCTGTTTGGCCAGTGCCTCGGCCTCGCGGTTGAGGGAGGGTAGGCCAACAATGTCGCTACCTGCTCCTGGGTCGACCAGCCCCTGCGTCACTGCGGCGTTCAGGAAAACGTCCGTGGTCCTGACCTCGGCCTGCGCCCGCTGCAGAACCTGCAGCTCGTCGCGCGAGATCACCGGGTAGTCGGTGCAGCCATCGAACGTGTAGCCCGCTAGGCCCCGGCTCGCCGAGGCCTCCTTCCGGTCTCGCGGGGGATGAGGACACTCGCGATGCCAGTGACCTTTCTCCTTGCAGTTGTGACACTTCGTTATCTTCATGAGCTTCTTGCGGTGTGCATCTCCGGACCTCGCTCCTCGATCTCCTGGCTCACGTCGTCCTCCGCCGCGGCCTGGCTGAGCATCTCGACCCTTGCCGCGACCGCGGCCCTTGCCTGCGCCGCTGCGGGGACGAGCGCCGTAGTACTCGCGGTCCTGCTTGGCCGCCCGCTTCAGGTCCTTATTCTGCTTCCAGGTGCGCTTGACCTGTCTCTCCATCTGCATGTATACCTCCTCGGCCTCGCCCTCGGAGATGTCTAGGTCGTCGATCTCCGCCAAAATGGCTTGCACGTCGCCCTCCGACAGGTCGTCGGAGTCGTCGTCTCCCTCCTCGACGTCTTCGTCGTAGTAGGAGTCGTCTCCTGTCTCGTCCACTCCGGGGTTGGCCGTCGGGAACGACTGCTGGGGGTAGGACGAGGGAGGAGGGGAGAGAGTCTGTCCGCCCGCGCTGTCTCGGCCGACTTCTGCGGCGAGGACTGGATGCGAGCTTGTCCTACCTGGAAGCAGCCTCTCGCCGCTTCCGTAGTCTAGCTGTCTCAAGGCCCACGACGCTTGATCGTAGTCGAGACTGCCTCGAGTGAGCGTCCTCAGATTCTGCTGGCCCTGTGCTGACAAGCCAGCACCTTCTTCCAGCAGAAAGCCCTTCAGCTTAGTAGACATCCAGATGTCATGGGTCTCTGCCTCGGCGAGCTGCTGGTCACGTCTGATGACAAACTGCGTCAGCGTCTCCTTGGACTCTCGCGTGCACTCGAAGAGTGCCCGCCTTCCTGCTCGCCTGAGGTCATCTCCTTCACGTTCACCCGCCATGACGTCCATGCGGCGCAGAACTGCATTCAGCCACTGCCCGCCAGTAATCACGTCGTCACTGAGGTCCTCGAATTTCGCCTGCATGGCCCAGTCGAACCCCTTCATCAGCTTCTCGTAGCGCCGCCATGCCTGGACATCCGTGCCCTGGTTCCAGCGCAGGATGGACTTCTTCCATAGTCTGTAGTGGGCCCAACCGGGCCAAGAGGGAGGATCGGAGAAGTCGCCCTTGGACCACTGGTTGGACGACCACTCCTGGCCTTGCCATTCCTGGCCGGGCCATCCCTGGTCACGCGATCGCCATTCTCGCTGCTGCCAGCTCTGATCCTTCCATTGATCTGAGCCATCCTTGTCGCGCTTCCAGGGGTCCGTGTCCTCCCACGGGTCCTTCTCCTCTTGTTGTCTACACGGTCTCGTGTCTGTCGAGCCTGCTGCGTTGCCGATAGTGTCCCTCACTACCTCTCTGACCAGGTCGCGCAGCTGCGCGCGAAACTGGTCCCCCTGCTCGACAGCAGGTCCTCCTGACCCAGCGGGCTGACCAGCTGCTGCCGCCGGGGTCGGCGGTTGCTGCTCGGTGCTGCCCATCGTCGCGTAGACGCCGTCGTTGTCGTCTGCCGGCATGCTCACGCCCGCCGTGGATCCACGCACTGCACGTCCTCGGTGGAGCGGCAGTCGCCTGGCCTCTCGAGCGGTCCCGGCGCCACCGCCCTAGCGGCGCCTGGGTCCACCCCTGCCGGCCATGGCTGACCACCGCTCCGCTACCAACTGTGGCAGCAGCGAGATGAGCGGATGCTTTTGCCTTGAGCCAAATCGGCAAACGACAGTACTGTCTCCTCTAGCTGACCACTGCGTCTGAAACGAACGAGTTCCCAAACTCGTTCCTATGACATGATCAACAGAAAAGATCATTGAGCTAAACCTATAATACCGAAATCAGGAAGCCTGTCACACTCCGTCGGCTCTCTCAAAATCTCCCTGGAGCCCCTCCTGGGCAACCCATCGGGGCCTCCTCGGGCCACCTCGGGGCTTCCCTGTGGCCCCCTTTTGCGTTCTGCTCCGAGTCCCTCCAGGAACCCTCTTGGGGCCGCTGCTGGGTCCCCTCGTGGGGCCTCCCTCGGGCTCTCTCTCCTGCACAGTCTCGGGCCCATCCTGGAGCGCTCTGGGGCTCGCTTTGACGCCACGTCGAGCCGCCACTCGGCGCCTTGCTGGCGCCCTCTTGGGACCTCCATGAGGCTGCCCTTGGGGTCCGGCCTGACGCTCTTCTCGGGGGCTTCCTCGGGCTTCCCCGCAGCACGTCTTGGCGCGAATTTTCGCTCCATCGCTGCAGCTCTTCCCGGGCCCTCGTCGGCCTTCCTCTGGGGACTTCTGATAGCGCTTCTTCTGGCTGTCTCGGGCCTTCACTTTGGAACGTGTTGGAGCCTTTTCGAACTTTCTGGGGGCACTCTCATGGCCTTTCTTCTGGCCGCTTCGGCGCCATCTTCGCGCCCTCCTGGGACGCCGCTTGGGGCCCTCCTGTGCTCCGTCCTGGGGGCTCCGAGCGGCCCTCCTGGAGCCTCTCATCGGCCCCCCTCGGGGCCCCTTGCGGACTGCTCTTGGGATCTACGTGCAGTCGACCCGTATCATAAGGATGCGCAGTAAGGATGCAAGGGCCCCTTGAACGCCCATTCCGAAGCTTTTCGAACGGGGCGCGGCCAACGAAATTGGCCAATAATGGACCGATGAGGCAGGGATGCAAGAGTATATACCTTTGGGAAGGTTGCCCATTCTTACTATGCGAGATGATTGTACTTGGACTCCCCTTTAGACCTCTCCTGGGGATACGAAACCGTTTCCCCGGGCACCGTTTCCCCGGAACCGCTTCCCCGGGACCGTTTCCGCGGAGGACCGTTTCCCCAGAGACCTCTTCCCCGGGGACCGCTTCTCCGGAGGAGCGTTTCCCCGGGACCATTTCCCCCGTTCCGTTTCCCCGGGAAGGCTTGCCCGGAACCGTTTCCCCCGATCCGTTTCCCCGGAGCTGGTTCCCCAGAACCGTTTCCCCGCAGCAGGTTCCCCTGGAGCGTTTCCCCAGTGCACCGTTTCCCCGGAACCGCTTCCCCGGAACCGGGTCGGGCACGGGTCGGGCGGGCGGGACATTCAAACAGAATGCATCATCGAGTTGGCACGCGAGTACCCAAACGGGCGAGACGGGTCCGGCGGGCCGGCGGACCCGAACGGGCGGACCCAAACGGGCGGGTCGGGTCGGGTCGGGCGGGCGGGACATTCAAGTAGAATGCATCATCGAGTTGGCACGCGAATACCCTAACGGGCGGGACGGGTCCGGCGGGCCGGCGGACCCGAACGGGCGGGACGGGTCGGGTCGGGTCGGGCGGACCCGGTCGGGCGGGACATTAAAGAATGATGCACCATCGAAATGGCACGCGAGTACCTTAACGGGCGAGACGGTCCCGGCGGGCGGGCGGACCCTAACGGGCGGGACGGGTCGGGTCGGGCGGGCGGACCCTAACGGGAAAGTCGGGTCGGGTCGGGCGGGCGGGACATTAAAGTATGATGTACCATCGAGTTGGCACGCGAGTACCCTAACGGGCGGGACGGGTCCGGCGGGCCGTCGGACCCTAACGGGGGGGACGGGTGGGGTCGGGCGGGCGGACCCTAACGGGCGAATCGGGTTGGGTCGGGCGGGCAGGACATTAAAGTATGATGCACCATCGAGTTGGCACGCGAGTACCCTCACGGGCGGGACGGGTCCGGCGGCCCGGCGGAACCGGGTCGGGCGGGACGGGTCCGGCGGGCGGGCGGACCCTAACGGGCGGGACGGGTCGGGTCGGGTCGGGCGGACCCTCGAGATGCATCATCGAGATGGCACGCGAATACGCTAACGGGCGGGACGGGTCCGGCGAGCGGGCGGCCCCTAACGGGCGGGACGGGTCGGGTCGGGTCGGGCGGACCCTAACGGGCGGGACGGGTCGGGTCGGGCGTGCGGGACATTAAAGAATGATGCACCATCGAGTTGGCACGCGAGTACCCTAACGAGCGGGACGGGTCGGGCGGGCGGACCCTAACGGGCGGGACGGGTCGGGTCGGGCGGGCGGACCCTAACGGGCGTGTCGGGTCGGGTCGGGCGGGCGGGACATTAAAGTATGATGCATCATCGAGTTGGCACGCGAGTACCCTAACGGGCGGGACGGGTCCGGCAGGCGGGCGGACGGACGGGTCGGGTCGGGCGGGCGGACCCTCACGGGCGGGACGGGTCGGGTCGAGCGGGCGGGACATAAAATAATGGTGCATCATCGAGTTGGCACGCGAGTACCCTAACGGGCGGGACGGGTCCGGCGGGCGGACCCTAACGGGCGGGTCGGGTCGGGTCGGGCGGACATTAAAGTATGGTGCGCCATCGAGTTGGCACGCGAGTACCCTAACGGGCGGGACGGGTCGGGCGGGCGGCCCTAACGGGAGGGACGGGTCGGGTCGGGCGGGCGGGACATTAAAGTATGATGCATCATCGAACGAAGGCGGGACGGGTCCGGCGGGCGGGCGGGACGGGTCGGGTCGGGCGGGCGGACCCTCAGGGGCGGGACAGGTCGGCTCGGGCGGGACATAAAATAATGGTGCATCATCGAGTTGGCACGCGAGTACCCTAACGGCCGGGACGGGTCCGGCAAGCGGACCCTAACGGGCGGGTCGGGTCGGGTCGGGCGGACATTAAAGTATGGTGCGCCATCAAATTGGCACGCGAATACCCTAACGGGCGGGACGGGCCCGGCGGGCGGGCGGACCCTGACGGGCGGGACGGGTCGGGCGGGCGGACCCTAACGGGCGGGACGGGTCGGGTCGGGCGGGCGGACCCTAACGGGCGGGTCGGGTCGGGTCGGGCGGGCGGGACATTCAAGTATGATGCACCATCGACGTGGCACGCGAGTACCCTAACGGGCGGGACGGGTCCGGCGGGCGGGCGGACGGGTCGGGTCGGGCGGGCGGACCCTCACGGGCGGGACGGGTCGGGTCGGGCGGGCGGGACATAGAATCCGCCGGCCCCCTTGTGGGGCCACCAGGCTGTAGGCGCGAGGTTCGCAGTTTCCAGTACCAGTTGTAGCTTGTAGTTTCCAGTGTTACAGTTCTGCTTCTTGCTGGTTACTGTAACTAGTTGATTGACCGCGCGAGCCCAAACGGGATTTTTAGCGTCTCCTGGGCGCGTTGTCTGAATTGCTGGGGGGGCTCGAAATCGACACCCCTCACGCAGATCCGCGGGGTCAGGGTCCAAAAACACATGGGATTTGCCACATTTCTGAAATTCGGTGCCACCCCTCACGCAGATCCGCGGGGTCAGGGTCCAAAAACACATGGGATTTGCCACATTTCTGAAATTCGGTGCCACCCCTCACGCAGATCCGCGGGGTCAGGGTCCAAAAACACAGGGATTTGCCACATTTCTGAAATTCGGTGCCACCCCTCACGCAGATCCGCGGGGTCAGGGTCCAAAAACACATGGGATTTGCCACATTTCTGAAATTCGGTGCCACCCCTCACGCAGATCCGCGGGGTCAGGGTCCAAAAACACAGGGGATTTGCCACATTTCTGAAATTCGGTGCCACCCTTCACGCACATCCATCGCAAGGCGTGGTAACCCAAACTGCGAGAACTCCCTCGGCCCTTTAATCGCAAGGTGTGGTAACCAAGCCCGTAAACCATACACGTCTTACCAATCGCCAGGTGTGGTAACCCCTCTTGTGATCAGTTGGTTTTGCTGATTGCGAATCGGCTTCGCATGAAGTTTCGATACTGCTTCACGACAGCGCCAAGGCCTCATGACTTAGCTCTTCCATGGCCCATTCTCCGAGAGAGGGGGCAGGCGGCAGGGGGCGAAGCCCTTACGGATAATGGTGCATCATCGAGTTGGCACGCGACCCTGACGGGCGGGACGGGCCCGGCGGGCGGACCCTAACGGGCGGGTCGGGTCGGGTCGGGCGGACATTAAAGTATGGTGCGCCATCGAGTTGGCACGCGAGTACCCTAACGGGCGGGACGGGTCCGGCGGGCGGGCGGACACTGACGGGCGGGACGGGTCGGGTCGGGCGGGCGGACCCTAACGGGCGGGACGGGTCGGGTCGGGCGGGCAGGACATAAAGTATGATGCGCCATCGAGTTGGCACGTGAGTACCCTAACGGACGGGACGGGTCGGGCGGGCGGACCCTGACGGGCGGGACGGGTCGGGTCGGGTCGGGCAGGACGGGTCGGGTGGGTGGCCCTCGATGATGGATGAGGGAGGAGAGGGGAGGAGGAAGTAGGGAGGGATGAGGGATGCGGGGCGGGGGGACGTAGCGGCAACGAGGGATGGGGGAGGGCGGGAGGGCAGAGAGGGATGGATGAGGAGGAGGAGGAAGAAGAGGAGGAGGAGAAGCAGCAGCAGCAGCAGCAGCAACAGCAGCAGCAGTGTAATGAGAGAGAGAGAGAGAGTAGCAGGAGGGAATCGCCTCTGTGGAACCCGTCTTGTGGAACCGTTCCTGTGGAACCAGTCCTGTGGAACTGGGCTTGTGGAACCGGTTCTGCGGAACGGGTCCTGTTGAACCGGTCTTTGTTGAACCGGTCCTTGCTGAACTGGTCGTCTGTTGAACTGGTGTCTGTTGAACCGGTCGTCTGTTGAACCGGTCCCTGTTGAACCGGTCGTCTGTTGAACCGGTCTTCTTCCCTCCTGGGCCTCCCCCCTTGGAGCGCTCTTGGGATCTTCTTAGAGCGCTTTCTCGGCACTCGCCTCTGCTCGGCCCACGCTGCCTGTATAGCGAGGTGGCCGAACGGTCATTCGCTGTCCCTGGGCGCATGGCCGAAGCGGGGTTCCGCGGTGCGGACTGTTGTTGCGCAGTTGCGTTGAATTCCCCTTTCTAGAGAACAATTATTGCTGATTTCCCTTTCTGGTCAACATTGCACTTTTCAAATCAAAGCGCTTCTGCCAGGGCTTGCGCCCGGTTTTCGGAAAGGAAAGTGAAGTGGCACCAAACTGTGTTGTCGGCCCCCAATTTACAACAACAGCGGTTCCTGCCTGATGCCTTCTCACAATATTTTCCCAAAGTGCGAGGATGTCTCGAATGGTTTGCCTGTCTTACTGGCCAATATCATCCGCGTTCTGGTCGAATCCGTTGTGTTTGCGTATGTCCTATATCTGGCCCGTCCCGTGTGGCTCGAATCCCATGTCTTTGACGAATGTTCCTATAAATCTGGCCTCTCCTGGGGCACGAATCCTTTGTGCTGTATTATACAATGGGGTCGCGGCCACAAGAAACCCTCGCAAGAAACCGAACCCTGAAAACCCGCAGCAAAGTTTCTTGCCCAGGGCTTGGGCTTCTCAACCGACGGCGCCGCACAGAGAAACCCAGGGGGCCCTGGCCCGAGCAGTTTCTTAGCAGGCCGCGCTCATAAAATGCGCCAGCACGGCTTTGGAAGAAACTCGTGGCGATCTGGGATGTAAACTACATGGGATTGCGGCAGCGCTCACGTGGCCAAAGGAAATCCCCGGGTGCCCCGCGAAAGCCCGTAACATATTTTCGTGATTCTCTTGTCGCCGCTAACGCCCGACAGCCAGTCCCAAGATTCCAAGAAACCGAAGGCGCATTGGCGGACCGCGAAATTTCCCTGCACCCCCCGCCGCGCCACATCCTGTCTGGGGTTGCGTCGCCAAAGAAACCCAGGGGGCCTCGGCCGCATGTAATCTCACAGTGTCGTCGCCGAGCGGCTTCCCGACCGAAGTGCATGATGCCCCGAGAGAGTCGCGTTGCGCGCCCCTTGCGGCGGGCTGTTCGGCCAGGGGCCGCGCTGCCCAAGAAACCCAATGGACGCTGTAGCAGCTGGACCCTGCCTGGCCCCCGTCGGAAACGCAATGGTCGTGCGCCGAAATCTGCGCGCCCACGCGTGCAACGCATGGGCGGGGCCCAACGGCAGCGCCCCAAATCCCGCGCGCCCTCGCAAGAAAAGCGTCGGCGGAAGCAAGGGGCGAAACCTTGGCCACGGCCAAGAATCGGCGCGCCCTCGTGCGCGACGCACGGGCAGGGCCCCATGTCGCGACCAAAAATCTGCGCAACCGCGCGCGCAATTCACGGGCGCGTCGTCGAGGCCCAATGGCCGCGCTCAATACAGAACCTATGTATGCGGACAATGCAAACCTCATCGGGCAAGGGCGCACGGCGCGTACGCGCGCATACGCGCGCGTCCGCGTGCGCGGGGGGAGTGCTGCATTGCCCACCATCAAAAACATTCACAAAAGCCCATGTTCACATAATCCAGTCGGTCACCCGTAAGGGTTGACTTGAGTGTCCAGGCCAACGTGGCGACGTATGTACCCTGGACCATACATATTCAATGTTGACAATGCAAACCATAGCAGGTCAGAGTACACGGCGCGTGCGCGCCCACGTGCGCGGGGAGTGCTGCATGGCTCACAATAGAAACCATCCACGAAAGCCCATGTTAACTTCTAAGTCCAGTTGGTCACCGTTAAGGGTTGACTTTAGCTTCCAAGCGAACATGGCGACTTTTTGTATTCTGGAACATACAAAACCTACTTATGCTGGCAATGCAAACCTTAGCAGGCTAGGGCACACGGCGCGTGCGCACGCATACGCGCGCGTACGCGAGCGCTGTGTGCGCGGGGTGTGCTGTAGTGTCCACAACAGATAACGTTCACAAAAACCACGGGTAACTTCAAAATCCAACCGGTCACCGTTAAGGTTGGACTTTAGTGTCCAGGCCAATATGGCGACTGTTATATTCTGGACAATACAGAACTTGTTCTGACAATGCAAACCTTAGCAGGCCAGGGTGCACGGCGAGTACTCGCGCATACGCGCGCGCGCCCGCGTGCGCGGGGAGTGCTGTATTGTCCACAATAGAAATCATTCACAAGAGCCCATGTCAACTTCAAAATCCAGTCTATCACCGTTGAGGGTGGACTCTAGTTCCCAGGCCAACATAGCGACTTTTGTATTCTGGGCAATACACAGCCAATGCTGACAATGCAAACCTGAGCAGGCCAGGGCGCACGCGCGCTCGCCCGCGTGCGCGGGGAGTGCTGTGTTGTCGCAAGGATGCAAAAAACTCAAGGAGCCTTTGGTGCCCGGGGGTTTCTTCGGTAGCGGGCCGTTTGATTGCCCGAAATGCAACTGGGAAGAAACCCAGGGCATCCTGGACACGAAAGTTTCTTGGCAACCGCGAGAACCCATCGCGCAACGCGCGGCGCGAAGAAACCTAAGGCACCCTGACGAAAGACATCCGGTTTCTTGATGCGCGCCCCCACTGTAGATTGCCCCTTTCCTGTGGCTCCAATCCTAAGTGTTTGACGTATGTTCCTATAGATTGTGCCTCTCCTACGGCGCGAATCCTCCCCAGGAGGCCCCAGGAGGCCCCAAGAGGTTCCAGGAGGCCCCAGGACACCCGAGGAGGCTCGAGGAGGCCCCAGGAGGCCCCAAGAAGCCCCAGGAGGTCCCAGGAGGTCCCAGGAGGTCCCAAGATGCTCCAGGAGGCCCCAGGAGGCCACGGAATGACTCCAATCCCATGTGTTTTTTGTATGTTTCTACAGATTGCGCTTCCCCTGGGGCGCGAATATTTGGCATTCCCCACCCGACAAGTTGGGGTCGTTAGGTTTTAAGAGCAGACCTCCCGGCCTGCCCGCCCTGCATGCCGCGGCCGCCAGATCCCCAGGCTGCCGATAATCCCTGGTGGTCACGCCGTTCACAACCCCCCCCCCTCGCCCTGCATACCGCGGCCGCCAGATCCCCAGGCTCCCGATAATCCCTTGTGGTCCCGCCCCCGCGCCAACTCGCCCACTCTGCATACCGCGGCCGCCAGATTATCAGGGCTCCCACAGAACAGAGCATAACACCACACCATCGAACACAACAGTTCCGAGCATAACATACCACACTATCATGACAGACCATTTCGTAACGTTACACACCATGACAGAGCAGTGCATATCATAGCACAGCATCACAACACACATCACTACATAACATGACACATCAATCATAACAGAGTAACTAAACACATAACTGAACATACCAACACATACCATGTCACGCAATCGCATACCATGACATAGTATACCATAGCACAACACAACATAACAGCGCATGCTATGACATATCAGAGCATACATAGCATAACACAGCATATCATAGCATACCATACCATGGCATTCAACTGGGCGAGACCACCGCGCCCCGCGCATATCGTTCCAATGAGCGCGCGCACCTTCGGGATCAAACGCCGAAGGTTTCGGTGGGGATCGCTCGAAGCAACACAATTATACGTATGTTCCTTTATACTGCCCTTGTCTTGTGGCCTCTATCCCGTGTGGTTTCCCTATGCTGTATAGATTGTGCCTCCCCTGGGGCACGAATCCCTGGTGTTTTACATGCGTTCCTATAGGTTGCCCCTCTCCTCTGGCTCGAATCTTACATGTTTTACATTTGTTTCTGTGGGTCGGGCCTCTCCTCTCCGTGGCGTGGCTGGCTGCATCACGGTCCAGCCACTGCGTGAGATCTTCTGGGCCAGCCAGCGAAGCGCGAAGGTTTCGCACGGCGTTTGCATGAGCACCCCGCAGCCCTTGCTTCTTCATGAGGGGAGGGATCGCGTAGCCATTTCGACTAAGTCACGCCCAGTCACGCTCAGGCCATTTACGTGCAGATACCCATCCTACGCCTAGTGTACTCAGACTCATGCACATAGACTCACCCGTACTACTGAGACTCATTCACACTCCGACTTATTCACAGCTAGATTCACTCCCAATCTGTCAATACTCAAGCCTGCTTATATTCGGAAACTCTTGCACCTAGACGCTCACGGCGGATAGGTCCATGCAAATAGATGCACATATGGGGAGCTCCACGCACCGTCAGTCGTCGTCTGCGTCGTCCCCTTTCCCTGCGCCCTCCTCAAGCCTGTCAGCGAGAAAAACCTCGCAATGTCGCAATCGAATCGAAGGGGAGCTCCTTTCCTTTGATCCCTTCCCCGTCAGGAGGGGCGGTCCTGGGGGGGGTCAGATACGCATCCCCCCCTGGGGGTCCCTGGGGGTCCCGGGGCTGCACAAAGTACCAAAACAAGACAAGAGTGCCCCAAGAGGCCCCCGAGACGGTCCAAGAGGGCACCCAGTCGCCAAACGATCGTTCCAAAACGCCTTCACGCTCCCAGACTGCCCAGGAGACCTCCAAGACGCCCCAAGAGGCCTCCAAAGGCACTCCCGAGAGGGCCCCAATAGGCATCATTAATTTTCTGTAGGATGTTTAACAGATTTGGGAGTTCCCGCCTTTTCCGCTTCCCGCCGCTCCAAGACGGCCGAAGAGGCCCTCAAGATCGCCCCAAAACGGCCCGAGAGGCTTCCAAGAGCGCTCCAAAGCATCCCATGAGAAGCACAAGACAGCCCAAAAGACAGCCCCAGAGGTCCCCAAGACGGCTCCAAGAGCGTACCTTGACGGGAAATCCGAACGGACATTTCGAGCCCTCGGCCCCGAGACGCTCCCAGGAGGCCCCGAGAGGTTCCCAAGAGGCCCAAAGAAGCCCACAAGAGGCCCTCAGGACACCCGAAAAATCCCACAAGAGGCCCCAAAGAGGCTTCCAAGAGACCCCAAAATTCGTCCCCAGAGGCCCCCAAGAGACCCCAAGAAGCATCCCTGAGGACTCGGGCCCACGTCAGCGTCGTCGTCATTGCCGCCGCCACTGCCGCTGTCGTCGTCGACGTCACCTTTCAGGGTCGACGGCGCCGGCCGTAAGGCCTTCGCGATACATGCACATATGGAGAGCTCCACGCAGTGACTAATTATTTGGTGTCTGTGGCAGCCACTCAAGGACGTTTTGATGTGTGCATGGCCGCCAAATGCTGGGTGGACGGGGTGCAAGCTTGACTGAATGACGCATGAGGTAAAGGGAGGCGGTCGGGCATACGATGCAGCTGGCACTGTCGCTCCACTCTCGAGGGCCGCGCCTTCTGGCCTCGCAGCGTAACCTTGAGGGGCAACGACAGGGGGGACTGGCTCAGGGGGGAAACATCGACCTGGAGTCGGCGATACATCGCTCGGCGGTAGGCCCACGACAGCGACTCCGCACGCTCCTGGGCGGGGGTGGGGCCATCAGACCCTCCATTGACGATCCATGGGCGATCGAGGCTCGATGCGTTCCCCCCCGGAGCCTATCCTAACCAGCCTCGAACGTATCCCTATCCCTAAGATGGGCGAGCAAAAAGCGAGACAATCTTAGGGATAGGCCCTCAGAAACTGAGGGAATCCTGAAGATCGGCATCGAGGTGAGGTGATGTCAAACATAGGGATAGGGATATGTTCCAGGCTGGTAATATCCCCCCCGCCAGTGCCCCTGCAACCTCCACGCACGCCGGGGCCTCGGAGCGCGCTGCCGGTGCGGCGGCCCCTGCTGCCGGCACCTGCGGCGGCGCCGCGGAGCGGCTGGGGCGGGAGCCGCCGGGCGCAGCGCGGCACTCCTCGGGGCGGGGCGGGGCGGGGGACTGTGCGGGGGCGAGGGGGCGCGGCTCCGAGCTGCGCGCGCCTCCTTCGCCCATGCCTGGGGCGACGGCGGGGAGGAAAGGAAGTCCGCCCTCAGCACTATCATCCCGACAGGCGAGGGCACTCAGCAGACGCGCCCAGGTGGGCAGGGCTGCCTGGTAAACGCCCAGGGCCGTCTAGCAAACGCCGATTATCGGGGTCGGGGTCGTTGTTCCCACCCACCAAGGAAATACGGCAGGTCCGTGTCGTGTCGACCCTGGGGGTGGTTCCCGACACCGCGGGGATCGTTCAGCCTTGAACGATCGGCCGTTCCCGAAAGGCCAGCATCGTTCAACGTCGACCGATTCTGGGCCGCCGGCAGCGTTCAACGTTGAACTCCAGCGGCGGGGTCGTCGCCGGTCGACTCGACGCGAACCTGCCGCACCAATGCTGTGTGCCTCGGTTGGAGCCGCACGTCCGACCCGAGCAGATCGCACAGCATCTGGAATATTCCTCCTGCAGAGGGACGCGCCCGACTTGGTACTAATGCTGTTTGCCTCGGCTGGAGCCGCGCGTCCGACCCGAGCATAGCGCACAGCACCTTGCGGTGCATCGCTTCCCGAGCGGTTGTGGCCAGAGAGCGACCGCCACCGAGCTTGTGCTCCACGAGATGTCCGAGCGTGCGCGTCGCCCCTGCGTGGGTCCCACGGACAGGTCGTAGAATGGGAAGCACAGGGGCAGACTGGTAAATGCCAGGTGTCCTCCTTGGAGGCGCGCGTCCGACCCGAACATGTAGTACGGTGGAGGGAAACAACTGGTGAACACCCCCCCTGCCCCCCAAACTCAAAGCTGGCACGCGCGGGGGAGACTACGCTCGAGGTGCAACTCATCAGACCCACCGCCAACTTTGAACATTGGGGGGAGGGGGAAGCGTTGACAGATGAATGTGGCATGAGTGCTCGCTATTTTGTTCCGAGGCCTGTATACCCATCTTGTAGTGTATCGTCTCCCGAGCGGTGTGGCCAGAAAGCGCCCGCCACGACGCGCATGCGCGCGTCGCCGCTGGGGAGGGCGACGCACATATAGTATAAGCATGTTGGGTGACGCCCATATGAGTATGTTTGGATGGTGCCGAATGCCCATTCTGGCATTTTCGCGCGCGCACGCGTCTTGTGGGGACAACCGCGCGTGTCCCCGAAGGCTCGGCCCGAGACCGCAAGGGTGTGCGAGCCCCGTCAATGTGAAACCGCGGGACAGGTTGGACACGGCAATCGATAACCACGTACCGATGTACGCGCAGCGCCACGGCAGAAGAACGCAACTAGTCCAGATTTTGGAGAAAGTGACCCTTCTGATCGCCTGCCACCACTTCAGGGACCAAACGTTGGAGACAAACACAGCAAAACCATCAAAAAGACTCGCACGCGCACACTCTTTCTTCCACCGCAACGGCGAAGCATTCTCTTGTCCTTAGCTGACGGGATGCGTCAGTCAAATCTGCGATCGAACGTGTGCTGTCGCGCACGCGCGCACACACACACTTACGTATACTCATTTCCCTCCGCCGAGGCGTTGCAACAACAGACTGCGCAAGAAATCCGAATGCAGACGCACAATTTGAATCCCAGCGTGTATCGATCACGGTCCAAGCGAAGGCCATGGTATCCCTCGTGAGTGGCAGGCAAAGCGAGCCAGCGAGCCAGGCGCACACGCACACAAACACACACACACAAACACACACACACACACACGCGCACACAGATACAGAAACACATGCGCACACACAAACAAGCAGACCCCCCCCACACACATACACACACACACACACACACACGCACGCACGCACGCACGCACGCACGCACGCACGCACGCACGCACGCACGCACGCACGCACACACACACACAAACACACACACACACAAAAACACACACACACACACACGCACGCACGCACGCACGCACGCACGCACGCACGCACGCACACACACACATACACGCACACACAGATGGGGGCAGCAATCACTAATGCACGCGCGCGACGAACGCAGTGTAGTAGAGATGCCAGGCGATGCAAACAAGCATATATGTATACGCATATTATATATATACATACACATATATATATATATATGCCTCACTGCGTTCCGCCTCCACTCCCATCCGCCTCCCCCCTTTGATATCCTTCCCCCACACTTCCCCCCCTCCCCTTGTCAAAGGGGCAGCCATCGGGGCAACCATCGGGACAACCATCAGGGCAACGGGGTCCAAAGGGCCGACCCTGGGGCCACCGTGGACAAGACATCGGACCCAGGGCACGACATGTCGGCCTGACTTTGCCCTGCCTATGGCAGGAACTCGCGCAACTTCGCCTCGCCCGCACGCGCGTCACGAACGAAACAGAAAGATTTCCCACTGATCCGTCTTCCCCTCCAAAGGAAGTGCACTTCCACTGGCCAGTCGACACGTGGAAACGCGGGGGGGGGAAAACGTGGTCCTGGGGCGATGGAAGGACTAAATACTCACGTGGCAACTCATGGGGAGAAGGGCGAACGAACACGAATGCCATTCGACCCTGCTCGTCAACCGGCGACGCAACAAGCGAAACAGATGGCATCCTGCTCGACTCGTCGCGTGGCAACCCAAGGAGGGGGGGACGCGGAGGCGGGCGGGCGGCTCTCACACTTCCCCAGAAGACAATACCGTACCGAGGAAAGGCAGCGCCCAACCTGACGCACCGCGGCGAATTCCAGAACGAGCCGGCGGCACCCAGGAACCCGTCGCCACGCTGCAGCCCCAGCTTTCCCGGCGACGACGCCACGGCTTCCCGGGTTGGGCACAACATTCCTCTGGTTCGTTTATCCGATCCCCATCCCCAGCGGCGTGGCCTGGGCCCCACTGGCCCAGGCCCTCGGGTTTCGAGGCGTGTATCCCCGACTTGGGGGGTAATTTGGTGGGGGTCCCGAAGGGGATGGGGATGGGGATCGGTTAAACGATACCGATCAGTATCCTTTGAACGATCCCCATCCACATCCCCATCCCCTTCGAGACCCCCACCAAATTACCCCCCCGTTGGGGACATGCCCCTCAAAACCCGAAGGGGACGGCCTCTATCCCCATCTAGGGTGGTAAATCGGCCAATGGGGCCCAGGCCACGCCGCTGGGGATGGGGATCGGAGAAACGGTGCTCATCTCTGGCTCGCGAGCGGCCGAATCCCAGGGTTGGGCGCCGCAGTTCCTGCACGCGGAACTCTATTGGGGCAGCAAGTGCGGGGCAACGACCGGGGGGACTAGCACATCAAGGGGGGGGCGCGTCGACCTGGAATCGGCGATACGTTGCCGATAAATCGGCGATGGGCATCCGATAATGAGTCCGCACGTTCTTGGACAGGTTTGGGCTATCGGGCCCCAATCGGCGATGAATGGGCGATTGGGGATCGATGCATCCCCTTCTATGTCTATCCCCCCCCTAGCGTTGCCCCCTCCCGCTGGCTCTTCGCAGATCCCCTTCTGGCCCTGCGGCTCCTCGCAAGGGTCGACGGGGACCGCTGGCTCCGCGGCGCCCTCCTGCCAGCGAGGCGGAGACAACGCAATCATGATGCTGAAAGCTTATGCATCATGTTCTCACTCTTGCACATGATAGCCGGCTTCCTCTCCCTCGGTTTCTTAAACCTCCCCGAGCCTCTGCGGCGCCAATGTATGAATGTCAGTCCTGTCATGGGGCATTCACTGAAACAAAAACAGCTGATCGCTCATGTGGGCTCCCAGCACTTTCACACACGACGTATGGCCGCCAAGTTTGTAAGTTCCGGTGCTTGCCCGATCTGTGCACGGCAGTTATCATCCATCGAACTAGATACGGATCACCTTACGTATAGCTCCCATAGATATCTCAGCTAGATAAGGATCACCTTACGTATAGCTCCCATAGATATCTCAGAGATCGTGCGAGGAGTGTAGTACCAGTTTGACCGACTAGCATTTTGTAACCCAAGATTTGGTGCCCCGCTTGAGGAATGGGAACATGCGCCGGGCCATGAAGATATGCAGGATCTACTTGACCCGCGTGCTCCACCTTCCCCACTTGATGAACTTGCCCGTGAGTCTCCACATTGTCGTGAAGATTTCGAGTATTTTCGTACGTCTGGCTCAGTTCCCTAGATGCGATGCACTGTTGTGGCATTCCTGCATCCCTTTTCTGGTGCAAGGCGAGATGATTACTTTCAATAATACCTTGAATTTGCTACCGCGGTGGCGCCGTACCAGGTGATCGTCATATCCCTCTGGGTGATCTTAGACAGCATGCGGTTACTAGCAAGTGGCTCAGGTGTCTAGAAGATGGCCGTGCCACTGGAGTCCTCGCAAGACCCTCATTGTGAAACCTGGAATGCGATTAGATGGCATCACGAACGACCCGGGTCCCAAGGCTACCATGGCCACCCCCCATTACGTACTACCAGACATGTTTGGAACGACGTGATGTGGCAATTAAGCAGCACGAGCACTTGCTTATAGGTCCGCAGCTACTGATGTGTATTTACACACTTGTTCTTTCTACACTGTATCACAACCCCAGGCCGATGATGGTTCGTCTCGGAATAATAACGTGAAAACACATATGGATCCAATTGGATCCTTTTTCGGATGTGCGAATGTCTGGTGGATCATATTTCTGCGCTTGGCGGATCAAATTTTATGTGTGGGCAAACCAATGGATCTACATATTTTCCGAGCATAAAAGCCGAATAACAACAAATCTCGAGGACCCAAGGGCAATGGGAACCACGGGGCACTGCATGTGAAGCATAATGCAATGAGTCTACGGGGATGGGGCTGCCTGATGATGATGCTGCTGATGGTGATGATGATGAGCATGAGTATGACTACGATGATGATGATTATGATTATGATGATGATGATGAGGATGATGATAAAAAAGAGGATTATGGTGATGATGATGATGATGAAGGCGATGCTGACGATACTGTTGGCAATCATGTTGATGCTGCTGCCGATGATGACAATGATGAAGATGAGGATGATGACGATGACGATGACGATGACGATGATGATGATGATGATGATGATGATGATGATGATGATGATGATAAAGATGATGATGATGATGATGATGATGATGATGATGATGATGATAAGGATGATGATGGTGGTGATGATGCTGATGACGCCATTGACAACTGTTGACCATACTGTTTACGCTCATGCGCTCATGCTGATGCTGATGCCGATGATGATAAGGATGATGATGATGATGATGATGATGATGATGATGATGATGATGATGATGATACGGATGATAATGGGATGATGATGATGATGCTGCTGATGATGATGGTAATGATGATGATAATGATGATGGTGATGATGATGACGATGATGGTGATGGTGATGGTGATGGTGATGGTGATGGTGATGGTGATGATGATGATGATGATGATGATTATGATGATGATGATGATGATGATGATGATGATGGTAATAATGATGGTGATGATGATGCTGCTGATGCTGCTGATGTGGAACAAACACTCGACCGTCACCGCGCGCACCCTCGTGGCCTCCCGAGCTCAAGCGGAACATTGTTCGGCCTGCGGAAGTATGTGCGATGCTTGTGGCATCAAAGAAGAGCTCCTGCTAGTTGGCATGTTCGTAGTGATCGAGCGATTCGCTCGGCGCCATGTGATGGTATGGTCTTTTTTTGAACAGTGTGCATGGCCAAGTCTCTCACTTCGTACTTCCTCACCATTCGCCGTCCTTCGCTCCATGATCGGCTTCAAGAACGTGGCCGTCAAGGCCGGTGTGACCACGGAAGGACAGCGCACTGGGTCTCTCTGGGGATGGATAAAAGGAAGAGAGGTTCCGAACTGCGCCAGAGAACCGGTATCCCAGGAGCACGTGCATGTAATACATCATGGAAGTATGCCCTGCCCGAGCAAGACAGTCTGGTGGAAGAGCTTGCTCGATGCTTGTCACATTGGATCCATCTCTTGCGAGGGTGGACCACATCGCGGAAGACGATGCCCATTTCACAGGCCACCATATTCGAGACACGAGGTTTGACCTCCTCATCAGCCCCTGGACCCGAGTGACTACGCCTAAAATTTGGCCTTCTCCTAGCCCGCTCCCCTTTTTTCGACCCCCCCGTCGAGTTCGAGGGCTCCCACCCTACTTGGGCGCGCCCCCCCCCCCCCAGCTGTCACTCCCTCTCCCCCCCCCCTGCCGTGCAGGGTAGGTCGAGGGCCCGGCTCACAGCGAGCCAGAAAGGAGAGGACTGGCCGCGCAACGCAGCACCGAGGCTGCCCAGCGGAGGGCGGCCCTTTTGTGCTGCCTCGAGCAGGCACGGGCTGAGACAACTCCGGCTTACGGAGTTCTTCTTCTCCGCCAGGCGCGGCCCTGTCGCAGGAGGAGGGGGCGCGGGTGCTCCTCTGTAATCTTTTGCTGCAGCGCCTCCTGACCAACATTGTGAGCAGTAACCGTTGTGGGCCCACTGCTGGCTCCCAAGGTTCCCAGAAATCCTCGGTCATTCCCCGCTCTCCCCGTCCTCTTAACGTCTTTCTCCCAGCTCCTGCTCCTGCTCCTGGTGATGATCCTGCTCCTGCTCCTGCTCCTGCTCCTGCCCCTCCTCCTCCTCCTGCCCTTCCTCCTCCTCCTCCTCCTCCTCCTCCTCCTCCTCCTCCTCCTCCTCCCTCCTCCATCCTCCCCCCTCCCACCTTTCCCTCCGTCCTCCCCCCTCTATAATTAATCAAATTACTCAATATGAATACTACTCTCCTCTCTCCCTTAGTGACGTCTGGGAAATGTCTGGCCCCCCTTCACGTACTGGTTTTCTACACACAAGATTCCCGGAGTTGGGTTTTCGCTTGGGTCTGTTTTCCGAAATGCTGCTCTCGCTGAAGCGCTGGCCTCATTTTCGGGCTACCGCTCGTTCCGAATCGTGCTCCCGCTGCAGCGCTGGCCTCATATCCGCGCATCCGCTCGTTCCGAATCGTGCTCCCGCAACGCTGGCGTCATTATTTACAGCGCCGTGTCACGGCATGGTTTTCGGTCCTTCCACATAGGCCCGAAAATCTAAAAAAATCCCCCCCGAACAAAACATCGGAAGTCGTTACACATTCGGTGTCGATTCGTTGATGATTTGGGCCGCAGGACCCCCTTAAAAAACGACCCGGCTGGAAAACGCCGATCCGACTTGACCCCGTGAGGGGTCCAGGGGCCCAGCGTGAGCCGATTGTTCAAGGAAGCCAGGCCATCGAGCCTGGCAGCCCGCCGAACTAATCCCTAACATCCGTCCGCGCCTGCCGCAGCTTCCCCCGCCACCGCCGCCGTCGTCGTCTGCGTCGTTGTCGCCGTCGGCAGTTTCTGGAGCTTCCGAAAGTCTCCGGGCCATCCGCCACGCCTCGTGCAGAGCTGTCTGGGGAGCCCAAGGAGACTTGGAACGGGGCTCGGGGAACGAAAGGCAGCGTGTCGAAAGGCAGGGGGGGCCTTACGCTATTACAGTACCCCCTACCAGACGGCACTTGGCATTCGAAAGCGCCAACATCGGGCAGGCGCGGTTGCGCAGGACGTGGAGCCGGGATTCTGGACAGGCCTTCTCCTTTCGTACACGGGCCATTTACCCTCCAAGGCATCCATTGCCATGCCATGGCGTACAATGCGATGTTGCGTTGTGCTCCGCTGTGCGATGCCATTCTTTGCGATGTGACAATTGTGTTGCAATGCTACACTACGCAATGCCAAACCATGCTATGACATGCTCTGCTCTGCCGCGCTCTTCTACACCATGTTTTACCGTGATTTACCATGCATCGCAAACCCTCTCGGGATCATTGCCTTGCTCGGCATCAGCCTGTGCGCATAAAGAGGAGACCTGTGCCATAGTAAGGGTTGGGAGGGAGGGGTATGACGACCGACAGATATGACGCGAGCGCACCTAGCTTGCCCCTGCCCCTCCCCCCTCCCCCCTCCCTCCTCCCTCCTCCTTCATCCCTCCTCTCTCCTCCCTCCTCCCTCCTCACTCCTCCCTTCTCTTCCATTCCTGTTCCTTATAAATAATTTTTCCCTGTCGCACCCCGAGGCCAGTTTTTAGGGCGGTCCGGGCATTGCGCCTGAGACTTCCTCACCACTTATGACTCTGAAGCTTAAACATTGGTAGCGGTTTCACTGATGAAGGGCGGGTGGTTTTCAACATGTGGCTCTCGCCTTAGCGCGGCGCACATTCGTTTGAAGAATGTGCAAGAGTTTCACGGATTGATGACGGTCCCTTTTCAAAATGTGGCTCTCGCCTATGCGCCGCGCACATTCGTTTCAAAACTTTGCTAGGAGTTTCACGGATTCCCATCCTCAACGTACCAAAGGTGGTGTTTGCAAAAATATTCAGGATTAGGCGGGTGCAACAGTTACGTTGATTTGCTGTGTTGATCCCAGGAATGGCGTTCTGGCACGGTTCAAAATCGTCAAGACGCAACAGTTACGGTCATCCGTGGCGTTGGGATCCCAAGAACATCGTTGATGACTCTTGGGTTTACACTTGTCCTCCTCCTTTTCTTATTAGTACTACTACTCTTATTCTCATTATTAGTCTTGTTATTAGTGTTAGTATTCGTATCACTAGGATTATTAACATTGTTACTAGTTTTCCTCGTTATGTTTCTTATTCGTAGTATTCTTAATGTTTGTCCTCCTCCTCCTCCACCTCCTCCTGCTCCTCCTCCTCCTCCTCCTATTGCTCTTGCTCCTTCTCCTCTTCCTCCTCCTTTTCCTGCCCCTTCTCCTCCTCCTCCTCCTCCTCCTCCTCCTCCTCCTCCTCCTCCTCCCCGCTCCTGCTCCTCCTCCTCCCCGCTCCTGCTCCTCCTCCTCCCCGCTCCTGCTCCTCCTCCTCCGTGCTCCTCCCACCCCCTGCCGCTGGCTCCTTGCGGATCCCCTCATGGCCCTGCGGCTCCTCGCAGGGGTCGACGGGGGCCGCCTGCTCCGCGGCGCCCTCCTGCCGGGCAAGGGCGGAGCAGGGGGCCTCCTATTCCTCCTATTCCTCCTCCTCCTCCTCCTCCTCCTCCTCCTCCTCCTCCTCCTCGTCTCCAACCCCCCCTTCCTCCTCCCCGCCCTTCGTCCCCTCACTCCCTCCCACCCCGCTTACTTCCTCCCACCCCACCCTGGCCGTGTGCTACCGCCAACGCTTCGGTGGCCGGCACAACGCTGAAAGTTCGGCCGTCCGTGGTCGGCGCTGCGTCTCCAGAGGAGATGGGGGTGGCACGGGAAGAGGAAGATGATGAGGGGGAAAGGAGGAGGAGGACGAGGAGGAGGAGGAGGAGGAGGGGGAGGACGACGAGGACGAGGACGAGGAGGAGGAGGACGAGGAGGAGGAGGAGGAGGAGGAGGAGGGGGAGGACGACGAGGACGAGGACGAGGAGGAGGACGAGGACGAGGAGGAGGGGGAGGAGGGAAGATCGAGTTATCGTGGCCCCATAGGCAGCTCCATCGTGCGTATTCTTCACTTATCATTCCCCACCCCCGCTGTTGCTCGTCGTCGACCTCCTCATCCGCGCCCCAATCCTCTTACTCGCCCCCACTCCTCATTATCATGTGCCTTGCAACTGCAAATGCTAGGGGCCTTCGCCAGGACCATTCATTGCGTAATGCCTGACATGCCATTTACGGGAACTCGAGCTGCTCTCGCTGTTCTGGCTAAGCCCAGCTAAGCCCGCCTCAAATTCTCTACTACGTGAGGGTGGGGACGTCCGCGAAGCTTGCCGCGTCGGCCTGAAAGGAAAGGTAATTGTCCCCCCTGTGCGTGCAGCAGCCCAAATTGTTATGCACATCGTACCTGGCACTGTCCATGGCATCGGGTCTTGCGCGTGTCCAGCTCCTCCTTCTGGCATCGATGGCAACGCCGATAATGGAGATTTGGGCACCAGTTGATGGAAGCTTAAATACCATTGCGTTCTGGCCGAAGTCACTTCAAGACATTGCATGCCATGGCTTGACATGACACGGCGACGCATCGTGCACTTCTGGAGATATGTGGTGATACGGGGGCGTGTGAGTGCTTTGTGGTAGCATGGGTTCCTAACGCCGAGCGCAGGTGGTTCACCGGTCTTCCCTCCCCCTCACTCTTCCAGCCTCGCGAGCGTCCTGTGGCCAAGGAACGGCGTCTGGGTAGAGCGCGTGCGCGATGCACTGGTGCATGCCGGGGACCTCAGGTGGACTCGGCAGCGGAGGAGCCCCTCAAGTGCAAATGGGGAGGTGGACGAGGAGGGAGCGGGGCAGAGGGAGGAGGGAGGAGTGTTGCTGGTAGCCGGATTGAGCATCGCTTGAGATGACCGCGCGTAATCTGATGCTGGTGTGGCAATGATACATGGTGCCATCATCGCATTTGGCAGTGTAAGCCATGTCGGCGCGCTGGTGGCACGGACCCTTCCTTCGTTCATGGCCCGAAGAGTTGACCGGCGGCCCCCGAGATGACTGGCGGCCTCCAGGATGGCTGGGCCTCCGCCGCACGGCGTTTCTGGGCCCTTGCCGACACGTCCTCGCGGCCACAAGCAACCAGGGACGCCCCGACGCCTCCCACTCCGTAGTTCCATGTCGTGATGGCCTGAATCGCAACTATCGGTGGCAGCGCATCACTCATCAGTAACAAGAGCCCAGCGGCCACCACCAAGTGTATGTGCCCTTTGTCACAAAAGCTCGCGAGTGCAACGGCGTCATGGCGGTGACGCCTCGTGCGACCGCCAATGCATGTTGGCGGCGCGCACAAGGGGTAGGGGAGGGGGAAGGCTTCTTAGAAGGAAATGTCCTCTTAGAAGGCGCCGGCCCTACACCTACAGATGATTGGCGGCGCGCACAAGGGGGATAGAGGGAGGGGGGGGGGCTTCTTAGAAGGAGGCTGCTTCTTAGAAGGCGCCGGCCTTACATCTATAGATCAGGCCCGCGCCTTCTAAGAAGCAGGGGTGCTTCTAAGAAGCCCTCCCCCCTCCCCCACCCCCCTCTGCGCATGGCTGAGAGAAGGCCCGCGCCTTCTAAGCAGGGGCGCTTCTAAGAAGCCTTCCCCCCTCCCCCGTACCCCCCTTCTTCGCGTGGCCGGGCAAATCGTCGCTTCTGTGCGCTATCAGACAAAACGTTTGTTGCGAACGAAAGCGGCGTGGAAACATGCCCAGACGGCGCTTGGCTCGCCCCGTTGGCATGGAGGAGGGCGGGCCGCACCAGGGGCGGACGCAGGCGGGGGGGGAGGGGGGGATCGGCGGGTGCAGCGAGGGCCCCCCCTTCTCGGCTCCAGCGGAGTAGCTGTCGTCGTTGCTCGCCATGCTTCGGCTACGCATGGGGCGCTCCAAGTAACAAATGGGAACGGGTCCAGACTGCTGGGGGTCCACGTCATGAAACAGGAGGGACCCCCGTCCAGACCGCTGAGTAGCGCTGAAGGCGCAAGAATCTGTCAGACGCCCCCCCACCCAAAAGGCCCGTCGGCCCTGGGGGGGTCCTCCTGGAGGCCTAGCCTAGAAGCCAAGCGACTCTGCACGGTTCCCCTGGGGCCGTAGGCGACCCGAGGAGGAGGAGGAGGAGGAGGAGGAGGAGGAGGAGAGGAGGAGGAGGAGATGGAGGAGGAGATGGAGGAGGCAGAGAAAGAGAGGAAGAGGAGGAGGAGGAGGAGGAGGAGGAGGAGGAGGAGGAGGAGGAGAAGAAGGAGGAGGAGGAGGAGGAGGAGATGGAGGAGGAGATGGAGGAGGCAGAGAAAGAGGAAGAGGAGGAGGAGGAGGAGGAGGAGGAGGAGGAGGAGGAAGGAGGAAGGAGGAGGAGGGGGGAGGAGGAGGGGGGGAGGAGGGGGGGAGGAGGAGGAGGAGGAGGAGGAGGAGGAGGAGGAGGAGGAGGAGGAGGAGGAGGAGGAGGAGGAGGAGGACGGGTCGCCTAAGCCCTTCGGAGAAACCCTACACTGGAGGCCTAGAAGCCAGGCGACTCCAGGAGCGCTCTCGGCTGCGGCTCGCCCTCCCTCGCGCGACGCCGGAGCGCCGGGACCGGTGCGGCGGGCCGGGCGCGGGCTGGGCGCAACATTCCGCGGGCTGCTTGCGCGGGAGGGCGGGCAGGGGGGGAGGGCGGGGACCGGCGGGTGCAACGAAGGGCCTTCCCTTGCGCGACGGCGCAGCGGCGCAGCAGCTAACTTCGACGTCCCCCCGTCCCCCTTTCCCTTCCAGAAGCCGAATCGGCGGAGATCGCAGGCTAGTATGCCTCCAAAAAGGAACGGGAGCCCAAATCGGAATCCGAAGTCGAACCGAATCGGAATCGGAAGCCGTCGAAATCGAATCGAATGGAATCGGAGGAATCGGAACGAGCCCTGCCTTCCCCCGCTAGTTTGGGGCCCGCCCGCGCGCGCCCAGCCAGCTCTCGGCTCCAACTTTCACTGCACCGACCTTGCAGACGTGCTGCAGCGGATTTGTGCGTGGACTTCTGCCACTGCAAAACCCGAAACGGCGAGTGAGAAACGAAGCGAACTTCGCGCGGATTTATGATCAGTCTTCATTCGCTTCCTGGCCTCCCAAAAAACCGCACGAAATTCACCTCGAAATCAGAAACAAAATTCTCCAGGACACTCCGAGCCCATCCTATCGTTCTCCGAACGAAACTTCGGACTTCGATGTGGATTTCGATATTCTCCACCGAAATTCACCTCGAAATCCGAAGCTGTCTTGTCGTTTGCCGGACGAGCTCCGCTCTGCGATGTTGGCGCCATGACACCTTCCCTCGCGCGCTGGCGCAGCTCCCAGGGGCGGGGGCGGCGGGCGCCGCGAGCGCTAGGGGGCCCCGCCGCGCCGCCGAGGAGCAGCTCGTGCAGCTCCTGCGCGGGCCCGCCCCTCGCTGGAGGGGCCCAGATGATTGGCGGCGCGCACAAGGTGGGGTGGAGGGAGGGGGGAGGGCTTCTTAGAAGGAGGCTGCTTCTTAGAAGGCGCCTGCCTTACGTCTACAGATGAGGCCCGCGCCTTCTAAGAAGCAGGGGTGCTTCTAAGAAGCCCTCCCTCCTGCCCCCATCCCCCTCTGCGCGTGGCTGACATTGGGCGCACAGATGAGCAGGCACGGATCCAAAACGAGCCCCCGAGAGGCCAACCACGAGAGCCCAACCAAGATCCACGAGGCCTCCGACCCACCACCCACCGCCTCCGAAGAAAGGCAGCCGCCCAACGGCACCGCATTGACAACAGCACCCTGACAAATGACAGTGGCGAGGCAAGATGGGCTGGCGGAATGCGCGAAACGATTCAATAAACAGGCACAGATCCAAAACCAATCCCGCAGTTTCCATGTTTTCTGGATGTTCGTCTTCCCCTCCGCTTCCCATTTCCCATCTTTTGCCTGGGGATCGAAGATCATTTGTGCCTGTGTGCTTCTTGTTCCCTCCTGCAACGCAGCCTCCCTCCAACAGTGCGCTCAATCCCTCCATCCCTGCCGTGCAAGGGGACCAGGAAGGACGGAAGAGAGAGGAAGGAGGGAGGGGAGAGGGAAAGGGAAGGGAGGAAAAGCATATGGATGAGGGAGTAGGGATCCCATGTGAGGGATGAGGGATGAAAGGGGGGAGAGAGGCGTGAGGTGAGGAAGGCAAGCTAGGTGCGCTCGCGCCATATCTGACATCCTACCCCTCCCTCCCATACCTTCCGAATTCGTTGTTGTTCCTGGATCTGCCGACGCGTGTCATTGTGGACCTGGAACATCAGAAAAACCCGATCGTCTTATGCGCAATCGGAAAACGGAAGCTGTGCACACTGGAGGAGGTGACGGATGAACAGGACGAAGAGGGGAGGGATGAGGAGGAGGACGAGGAGGAGTAGCAGCAGGAAGGAGCTGGAGTAGATGGAGCGGGGGGGGGCAGCAGGACCAGGGGAAGGCGGAGGAGGGGAAGGAAGGGGCGACAACGCCAGACATGACGTGGCCAGCGCTGGGGCGAGAGTGCCATTCATTCTGAACGACGGGAGCAAATCGCTGATCCCAAAATGAGGCCCACGCTGCAGCGGAATCACCACTGTCAAGGACCGAAATGGATCGAATGCTAAAATATGCGATGCGCATCAAGCCCGCCACCGTGCCTGGAGGTACGAAGTGGAATTACCCACATGCTCTCATGTGTGCTCTGTCCTGAATCCTGGATTCTAAGAAAGGGGCCCCGACCTTGCATTTCCAGACTGTTCGGGCTCCAATTCGCAGAGCGGCTGTCCTGCTAATTTGCCTCACGGCATGCGCATTCGATGCTCCCCCGCTCATTGGTAGAGCGCTGCTCTGCTAATCGGCCTCAAAGCAAGGTTCCTCATCCTGCCCGGGCTCTGATTAGCAGAGCGCCGCTCTGCTAAATGGCATCAGAGCATGTGCGCACTTACTGCTCCTCCTCTCATTCGCAGAGCGCCGCTCTGCTAATTTGACTCAGGGCATGCGCACTCGCTGCTCATGCTTCATTCACTCGAAGGCCCCAAAACGGGCCAAGAGGGCCCCAAGAAGCGCCCAAAAGGGTCCGAGAGGCCTCAAATATGGCACAAGGGCGCTCCAAGGCGCCCAATCTGGCCCCAAGACGGCCCAAGAGGTCCCACAAATGCCCCAAGAGCGCTCCAAGAGGATCTCCAAGAGGGCACCAAGATGCAAACATCACTTGTTGCCTTGTGTGTTCAATGTTTTTCGCGTTCTCGTGTTTTCGGGCTTCCGACGCTCCAAAATGGCCCCCAAAGCCCCCACGATCGCCCCAAAACGGCCCAATAAGCCCTCAAGAGGGCTCCCAAACGGCCAAAGAGGGCCCCCAAACGGCCCCCAAAGCTCCCAAGACGGCCCAAGAGAGCCCCAAGACTGGCCAAAGAGAGGCCCACGAGGG